CTTCCATTTCAAATTCATCAAATCTTCAATTGAGATGAGCTGATCATTATTAGCAATTGGAAAATATAGTATGAAATAAACAAAGAGATTGCATGATAGAATTTTGGAAGACCAATGACTTATTCATAGCAAATACTTTATTTCAAAAGCACAAATGGCAACTATACACATCCACTTCTCCAGAAGGAATCCTAAGAAATCCTATTGATTACATTTGTTAGAAGACTTGATGGAGAGGCTCAATACCAGCACAGGGACCAACTGTGAAAAAGACCATCAAATGCTAATATGTGAATCCTGGTTGAAGTAGAAGAAAATTAAAACAAGTCCATAAGAGCCAGAATATGATCTTCAGTCTATCCCATGTGAATTTCCAGAACATTTCAAAAATGGATTTTATGCATTGAACAAATGATAAGATGAGCTACAGGATAACATGAAAAACATCCTTCATGAGGAAAGCAAAATTTCACTAAAAAGATAAGAAAGAAAAGAACAAACTGCATGTCAAAAGATACTCTAAAACTTCCTCTTAATCTTCTAGTAATGGAAGAAACAATAAAGTATAAAAACAGAAGATTTCAGAGATAGGGAGGTTGAGGGGATTTGGGGAGCAAACAAGGAATCTGGGAGGAGAGAAGGGAGCCTGGGATTTGATTGCGTTTATGAATATACAACTCATTTTAAAAGCAATTTAACCATGGAGGTGTATGATTTGTGAATATTATATCAAGAAAACTACTTTTAAAAAAGAATGTTAATGTAATGTGAAACATGTAGCCAATGTCATTGAACAATATGTACAGAAATTGTTTAATGGGAACCTAATTTGCTATGTAAACTCTCCAAAACACAATAAAATATATTTTTAAAAAAAAGAATATTTCAAAGGGCAGCTAGAGAAGACAAAAATCAAATACTTTAAACATACACAGCCCTAGAGTTAGAAAACCGAAAAGGAAGACCATGCTTAGTATTATACTGAAAGAACTCAAGAAAAACCTCAAGCCTGGAGTTGCAATCATGAAAGATTATATGGGTGTGGTGGTTACATAATCTGTTGTCAACTTGAAACTTAAGAGTGAAAGGGTGGGTTTAGCCTGTCAATCAGGCACACTTTGATGACCTCATTTGGAGTAGCTACGGAGATAAATAAATAGCTCATTGGAGGCAGGGCACTCACTCACTCCCTGTGAGACATTACTGATGATGAGCCTGATGGACTCACACTGATGCAGCCAGAGCCCTGGAGCTGGAGGAGCCAAGTGGAGACCCATGCCGGTGCTGAGATGCGTATACTGCCACTGGATCCACAAGACTTTCTACCCACTGGCCTGTGATCGTCCTGCATTCAGCATCATTGCACGTTTTTCATGAGACTGAAGAGGAATTTATACATTGGTATAGGACATTTGGGCTAATATTGGACTTACGGACTTGATCTGGGCTGGGATGTTTTCTCGATATTCAATTGCTCTTGTATATAAAGCGCTTTCTTATACACATGAGTATCTATGAATTTGTTTCTCTAGTCAACCCATACTAACACAATGGGAAAAATATTGAATGGTTAAGGAAGCATCAAAAGAAGATGGAAAGAATTCAGAGTCATTGTACCAAAAAAGACTAGATGACATTCCACCATTTCCAGCAGTAACATAAGAAAAGGACTAATGGTACCGAAGGAAAAGGTTCAAGCTGTATGGAAAGCATACCAATGGAAATGCATAACAAGCTGATGAAGCATTGGAATTACTTACTCATTGATGCCAGGAAATTTGGAAAATAGCTACTTAGCTGAGTGGAAGAGATCCATATTTGTGTCCATTTCAAAGAAAGATGACCTAACTATGCTCAAATAATAGAACAGTCTCATATCACATGCAAATAAAATTTTGCTGAAATCATCCAATAATGGTTGCAGCAGCACACTGAAAGGAAGCTACCAGGCGTACAGGCCAAATTCAGAAGAGGGCTTGTAACAAGGGATATCATTGCTGATGTCACATGGATCTGAGCTAAATGCAGACTATCAAAAGATGTTTGTGCTTTAAAGACTATGCCAAGGCATCTGATAGCGAGGACCATAACAAGCTATGGAGAGCCCTGGGAAGAATGGGAATACCAGAACATTTCATTGTGTTCATGGGAAACTTTACATGGATCAAGAGGCAAATGTGTGAGTAGAATAAGAATGCTTTGTGGTTCAAAATCAGGAGAGGGGTGAGTCAGGGTTGTTTAATTTCATCATATTTATCCACTCTTTGTGCTGAGAAAAATATCAGAGAAACTACATGCCACAAAGAAGAATGGCGCAGCAAGATTGAAGAAATTCTTATTAATAACCTGCAAGATGCAGATGACACAATCTTCCTGGCTAAAAGTGAAAAGATCTTGAAGCATTTGATTCTGAAGATCAAGGATTGCAGCTTTAGGCATTCTTCAATATGGATGATAACCCAATGTAAAGAAGACAAAAATCTTCACAACTGGGCCAATAAATAACCTCATGATAAATGGAGAAAAGTTGTCAAGGATTTCATCTTGTTTTGATCCACAATGAATGCACATGGAAGCAGCAGTCAGGAGATCAAATGATACAATGTATTGGGTATCTCTGCTATGTGAGATTTAAGAATGGTGAGAAGCAAGGATGTTCCTTTCAGGGCTAAGGGGCCTGAATCCAAGCCATGATTATTGGCTTTGTCATGTATGCCCTCATATGCATGTCGGATAGTGAAAAAGGAAGACTGAAGAGGAATAGATGTATTTGAATTGTGGTAGTGTCAAAGAATATTGAAAAGTACCATGGACTGCCAATGCTATCAATTAATCTGTCTTGAAAGAAGTATATCTGGAATTTTCCTTAGAGGTAAAGATGGGGAGACTTGGTCTCAAGTATTTTCAGTGTGTTTTCAGGAGACACCAGTCTCTGGAAAGGACATCATCCCTGGTAAAGTAGAGGGTCAGTGAAAACAAGGAAGGCCCTCAGCAAGATGGATTGACACAGTGGTTGCAATCGTGGGCTCAAGCATAGACATATTTGTGAGCATAGTGCAGGGGTGGACAGTGTTCTGTTCTATTGTGAGCAGGGTGGGCATGGGTTGGAACTGACTCAGTGGCATCTAAAAACAATAAGCAGCTTACTCCAACCTAGCCACCGACACTTTTTTCCTAGAATGCTTGATATTTTCTGACCCCGGGGCTTGTATCTGGCAGGTTCTTCTGAGATTACATCACAGCTAATTCCTCCACTTCACTTGTCTTCTGCATGTTTAATGTTCTTCAGCAACAATGAATTGTCCTCATTTCACACTCACCAAAATATAAATGATAATGACATGAAAGTGAGTATGTAAAATATATATGTTTCAGATATACTTACATAAACATGTATGTACATATATGTAAAACTGCCACTTTCCCAAATGTGTTCTCTGAATAAATAACAGATTAACTTTTTAGAAGAATAAAACAAGTGGTTTATAACTAGAGCCTGCAGTGTCTTTAGTGCCTACAATCCCAAGGAAATCTTCAATAAAGATGGCTTTTTTTAAAATAAGCCAAACTATAGGGTATGCTAGAACAAATTCTAAGTTTCATATTAAAACATCTTGTTTAAATGTTGTTTTGTGTGCCATACATTTGCTTCTGACTCAGAGTGACCCTTGACTGCTCACTGAGTTTCTATAGCTTTTCTCTACGTGTAAGCTGACTCACATACCTCTCTCCCATAGAGCAGCTGGTGGGATTAGACCACTGACCTTTGGTTAGCAGTCCAGAGGTTGACCACTACAGCACCAGGGCACCATGACTTCTACCAATCATTGTAATTTATGGTTTAGAACAGAAGATGGCAAGACTTCCCCTCCTATAATTTGGTCAAGTTGCCAAGAGAGAACAATGCCTAGACAAAGGGCTGGTAAAGTAAAGTAGAAGCACTGGAAACGAGGAAGGGCCTCTGCAAAAATGGATTGATACAGTGGTTGTAACAATAGGCTGAAATATAACAATTGTGAGGATGGTGCAGGACCACCCAGTGTTTCATTCTGTTGTAAACAGAGTCACCATGCGTAGGATATGGATATACTAGAGCCTAATAACAATGAAGGGATTGTTCTGTAAACCTCATTATAAGCTAGGGGGTCTATAAGAGGCGGGTGAAAAAGAAAAAGAAAAGCATATTGCTATCAATAGTCTGGCCTAACTATTCCATAGGTTTTTAGAGGTTATAAATCTTTATGGAAGCGACTGCCTCGTTTTCTCCTGCTGAACAGTAGGCTGGAAGTTTCAAACCCCAATCTTTTGGTTGGCAGCCAAGAACTTTAGTCACCATGCCACCAGTGTTCCTTCTCAACAAGAGAAATATCCAGATCAACACCGACCAAAAACAGACTTAATAAGGTTGACTTTTCCCCAAGGATATTACTAAAAGGTCTAGCAGACTCTGCAATACTTAAAAGCATGGCAGAGAAGCAATCAAAATACCGCAACTGTTTGGTGCCTGGTTGCGGGCTCTAAATTGCAACAACTCTTAATGATATCAAGATGTATAAAGTGTTACATCTTGATAATAAAATGAGCACTGCTCTCTTGAAGTGTCTTCAGTGATGCAAGGAAAGACACAAAACAAAAACTACAAAGTCAAGGTTGTGAAGACAGTACATATTTTAAATATGCAACTTCCATAACTCCCTCGGAGGCTGGGGGCAGTTAGATCCAGATGATCCTGGCAAGAAGTCTCTTAGGAAAATAGTTGTTCCTGGCGGAAGCAAACCATCAGTTAGTGAAGGCAAATGACTTTTCGAGAGTTGGAGGCTTGGCTGTAGTCTCCGGAGGATCCGACCTAGCAATTTTGCCACCCAACTTGAACCATTCACCGGGTCCACTGGGCTCCAAAGCTAGAGAGTTGGGAGCAAGAGTCCAGGACCCGGCACAATTTGATAAGTCCCTAGGTGGCCATCAGCTTTTGAAACCGTTGCTATAGAAACAAAACCTACCTCTGGGTTAACCCCATGGCTTTCTGAGAGGCGACCTAGACGCTCCAGGGGCGTGGTTGTCGGGGTGACGCACGGAAGGGGCGGGGCGGAGCCGAATACGTAACCCGGAACCGGGTGGCAGTCCATGGCGCATGCGCTCCTTGCAAGGGGCGGGACCTTTGGAGCGCTGAGGCCGGCTGGCTTACTGAACTATGGCGGCCGCCAGGGTCCCGGCAGACGCAGCTCTGCGCGAAGCAACTCTGCGGAAGTTGGAGGTGTTTTCCGCGCTGAGAGGTACGGAGGGAGGCCCGGAGCTCTCTCGGGACAGCAGAGGGAGGGTGCTTGTGCCCCAGGAGAGTCGGAGGACCGTCACTTCCTGCTTCCCCACTGCGGCCGCGGGCCCTGAAGTAGCGAGTCTTTCTCATGCCTTGTCTATTCTTCAGTGCCTCCCCTATCTGCCTAGAGTTACCTTTCTTTGTCATAATTGTGGTTTCTTCCCATAGCGGTACAGATGTCAACATGTATCAAAGTAGTAGGAAGGAGGGCAGGAACAATAACCACAACTTCATAGTAACTGAGTAGGAAAATTGTCCATAGGAGTCTTGCGTGTGGTTAGCTCATTAGCAAAAGAAAAATACTTGAATAAATTTAAAAGCGCCGAGGCATATTGTTTTAACTCGCCCACATCTGATTTGTCAGATTTTTCATGTAAACGTCTGTAAGACCGGGTTTCACAGAGACAGGAAATGGATCAAAAATAAAAGGAAGTTTGGCATCAAGAAAACGAGAGAAAAAAACACCCCAACATACATTTATTCATCTGGTTTATCAGTAGACAGGGAGCACCAGTCTTTCAATGAGTTCATCAGAATCTTTCTGTTAATTGAGAATGCTATCATAATCTAATCGCCTTTGAACTTGCATGGTTCAAGATAAGGTAAGAGCAAAAGTGTTTAGATTTATAAGGGCAACATTGAAGGAATTGATCCTTGGGTAGGATCTTTCTTAACCAACAAACATTAAATAGCCCTGATGTGTGCAAATTGGTTTTCAACTAAAATTCACGATTTTATTCCACTGTCCTCATAAGAATTGAAGCAGCAGTCTTTGGTAAATCAAAGTACCTTCCTTAATCCAGAAACATTGCCTCTTTCAAAATTTCTAAAAGTGTTTAGAACATGAAAGGATCAAATCATCTAAAAGAGAAGAGGAAAATTTGTGGACAGTCTTCATTAGAACTGTTTAGGTGATACTGAAAATGCTTGCCTTTGAGCTGGTTCTAGCACATGTGTAAGAGTAAACTCTTCCATAGGGCTTGGGGTCACTTATGAAGTCTTATGAAAGTGGATTGCCAGATTGTTGTTGGTTTCCCCTGCCAAATTCCCTTAGCAGCAAGCTCCAACCGGTTTTTTTCACAACCCCCTCTCATCAGCCTTGTTGCCATCAAATCAACTCGACTGGTGGCAGCCCTTGGTGTACACAGAAGGACTCCATGGGAGTTTCAAGGAGGTGCCCTTCAGAAACTGACCCCCAGGCCCATCTCACTAGAAGACTTGGTGGATTCCAACTCTTGGGATAATAATTGAGTGTTGAACCACTTACGCCACCCAGTGCCTCCTTGATTGTAATTACTGACCACATATTATTACCTACTCTCAAAAAAGAAGATAGATCTATTATGTTGAGTCACAACTGGGTTTTAATCCTTAGTCTCTTGGGAGAAAAATTTGACCAAGACACACAGCAGTGCAGCCAACCATAAGTTTTATATAAAGTCAAAGTACAGAGGTTTAGTAAAGCATAGAACAGTTTTAGTGCACTTAAGCACCTTCAAGCCAACGTCTTCGCAGAAAGGTCTGAGCCTCTTGTCTGCTTGGTGTATTTCCTTTTTTATAGTCACCCCACCCTATTGCCAGTACCCTGTGAGGTAAGTTCTTTGGAGTTGTTTTGCTGGTCATTTTCTAGGTGTTATTGGTCCAGCTTTTTAAAGGCTTTGCTAGTCAATTTCCAGATGTTATCTGCCTAGATTTGGGGGGAGGTTGTTTTACCATTCAATTTATTCTTAGTTTCATGTTTTCCTTAACCAATGGTCACCCTGGCTCTAAACCTAACAGATCTATAAAGATGACAATAAATGTTCCCTTTTTCCCCTTCCTTCTAAATAGGGAAAAATTTTAAAGCTGAGATTTCTAAATATGTTCATAATTTTTTTTTTTTTTCAAATAGGCAAGCCTGTGGCACCTGGAGAATTCTGGGACGTTGTTGCAATAACAGCCGCTGATGAACAACAGAAATTTGCTTATGAGCAGCAGCTATCAGGAAAGCTGAAAAGGAGAGAGTTACCCCTTGGAGTTCAATATCATGTTTTTGTTGATCCCACTGGAGCCAAAATCGGTATATATTTTATGGTCTGGTCTTTAAAAAATGTTGGGAATAAGAATCATTGAAAAAAAACTTTTCGCTGCCTTAAAGCTAATAGCAAACAATGTAGTTTTCCATACATACCCTTTACTAATACCGTTCAGTTTGAATTAAATCAACTCTTTAGGGAGATGAAATGATGTAACAACCTTTTTACACACTGAGTTGAAGCAAACCCTTCTACAGTGTTATTTAAAAGACAATTTTATTACTTTTAGTGACATTTACTCTACTCAGATGGTGAATATTCCTTTGCACTCTATCAATAGGATTCTCAGAGTTTCTCTTCATCTTAAAGTGTCTTAAGAAATTTACATGAAGCCAGCAAGGCAAAAACATAATACATTCTCTCCTGGGACTACCGTGGGAAGTGCAGAATAGCTGAGTCTGGTGGAGTAAGTATTAGACAGTATTTACATAAAGCCGCCAGTTAAAGTGTCCCTTGCACTTCCACTTCAAATAAGATATTTGACATATTCCCAGAGGGAAATTTTTGATATACTGCATAAACCCTGGGCTCCTTGATAAAGGAGATACTGAATTTTTATTGGACATTGGGATTGTTGTAATTACGCAACCTTATTGTAATCCTCATAATTATGGACTCCATACTTTATTATTCTCATCATATGGGGTGGGGGCGGTGTAGGGAGGGGAATACAGAACATGAAGATGAATAACTTAACCAAATAACTAGATCTTAGAAAACTTTTTGTGGAAATAAGTCTAACTTGAATATATGATTATGGTAAAATTGTTTAAATAGCTTTTGTGATTTGTAATGCCATTAGAGTTTTTTTATTTGCAGACTCTAGTGTTGCAGATTGGTTAATTTACCATTGTTTCAATTAATATTCTCATGAAAATGTTATTTATTACTGAGGACTGATTTCTGGGTTTCATTATTAATTGCTTATTTTCAACAGGATGCACACTTAGTGTTCTTCCTTTGCCAATAGCTTTACAATCTTTTCACCTAGTGAATGATAGTCAAAAGTCATGTCCTTGAAGTTCTGATTTTAAATTTACCATAATTATGAAGTTGTAGTAGGTATCTATGAAATAAAGTATATTTTCTAACTTTATTTTTAAGGAAATGGAGGCTCAACACTTTGTGCTCTTCAGTGTTTGGAAAAGCTATATGGCGATAAATGGGATTCCTTTACCATCTTGTTAATTCACTCTGGTAAAATTATTCTTTACTAATTTACTTTTTTTTTCCCCTGAAGTATTTCACCACTGACACCCTGGAGACTTTCTTTTTCTTCTTTAGCCTTTATGTTGTTCTGCTTTGAAAACAAATATGTCATGCTTTTCTTCATATGATTAGGTTTTACGCAGCATGTTATTTGAAAAATTTAAATGTCCTTAAAGTTGCAGATCAAATACACTTTGAAATTTTTAATGGAGTTTCTTCTGTGATATATATATATATAAATTATTTTCCTGGAACAGAGCCTATTAAAGTACAACCATTTCTTAGGCAAGTTTTAGAGAGCATTGTTTTAAGAGGTTGGCTTACCTCTGATGGTCAGACTTTTAAAAAACTTGCTGCCTTGCATTTTCTGTCTTATTATTGGTGCCCCAAAAGTCTAACCCATAATATAAAGTTTTAAAAAATGAAAATGTGGTGATGAAAAATAAATTCAACAAGTATGTACAGGGGAAAACATGCATAAAGAGAGCATTTTATAACCAAAAAATTAGGGAAAGCTTACTCTCAGAACGAAGAATAGTCTCTCTAATTGAATAAATTTCGTTGTATAAATATTTTGGTTATATGAAACTTTCTTTGTTTTGCAACATACTGGGAAGTCTCATGAAAATTTTTCCTTGACTGGCATATGTCTTTGAGAACCACTCATTGACCTGGCTTCCAAGGCACTTTCTAATTCTTACCATTGTCTTTTTACCGAGCATTAATTCTTGATAAAGCTAATGTCAAGCTAAAGTGTTGCAATTCTATATTTAAGACCAATCAGAAATATGAAGCAGCTAAAATTGGATACCACTATTGACTAGTTCTTCACCAAAGAATGGTATTCATAGTTTTTCTCTGTTGAACAATATATCTCAAGGTTTTTTTATATAGGACAGTAAGTAAAAGAATATTGCCTTAAAATCACAGAAGACTGTATTAACAAAAAAATTGAATGTAAAGCTATTGTTTCTCCGCATACCCTCTATCCAGGTGTATGCTTTTCTAACGGCAATGTTTCCATCTCTGTAAACCTTCCTCTTTGAGTTACACCAAGACATTTTTTACATCCTCAATTTAGGTTTCTTTTAAATGATTTTTTGAGTTTGAGGAATAAACAATGTGTGAAGGGGGAAAATTACTCCATAGGATGGATGGAGTAAGTTTCCAAATGAGATTCTGGTAAGACAGCCCTTCGGAGCCTCAAGGGATGAGTTGGCATATTCCTCTGTCCAGCTTTCCTGGCTTTTTTTTTTTTTAACCAGTACAGACTTAAGTTTTCTTGAAATTTCTTCATAGTAAGTCTCATTGGTTATACTAGGCCCTTTGGGGGTGGGGCGGGGGTGTGTGTGTGTGTGTCAAGATATGACCCTTTGGAATTCTGAAAAATCGGTCACCTTAACGTTCTGAGCTGATCCCCCTGCCTTGATTTTAACTGGTTCCTCAGATCCCTTAGAAGTCTTTGTTTTTATTGGATTATGTGTTGAAGGCACTCTAGGACAAGGGAATTATTGAAAACTTGTCTGCAGCCATCCACTGATCACAGAGACATGCTTAAGCATGGCTTGTTTGGAATAAGTCCGGCCATGGATGAATGAGAACCCTAGTAGTGATACTCTTTTGAATTACTCTCATACTATCGATCTCCTAAAACATGGTAAGTTAGCTGTTTTACCACATTTACTGATTTGAAAATTGAAATTTAGTGGAAAATTTTGTATCCAAAGGTAAACAACTAAACTGTGGTGAAATTGAATTTTAATTCATTTTTGTGTGACCCTTTTTAGTAGATAATGCTGATTCTCACTATAATAACCTTAAAATTTATAAAGTATAGAATATGTTTAGGAGAAAACATTTCAAAAATTGAGAAGTTAGTGTAAGTTTAAAGGAGGAAACAATTACATTTGAAACAAGCATAAATTTAAAAGGTTTTAACATTGTATCTGGAAAATGTTTATCACCTTATATACTCAAGTCTAAGCCAACCTGAATATCAGCCGAGGCACCTAATTTTGCCACAAAAACTCGGCTTATACACGAGTATATATGGTACATTTTTGATGAATTACTCGTTTTTTAACAATTTTCCCCACTCTGAAGGTCTCATTAATGCAGGAGCTTAAATAGCATGAAACTTAAGGTTTGAAATGTAAACACTAGATAATCTTTTAGCCCATGCCATGGTCTTTTTAATAAGTTATACATTTGATTTGAAACAATTATAAACTATACAGTACATTGCAATTGTTTCCTAATCTAGAAGAACCAAATCATTTAGAAATTTATAATCTGGAATTCATTATTCTCTCCTGAATTACATTGTACTCACTATCTTTAAAGATAATTTGAATTATAACTGATATTTTGAATTATGGCTGATGCCTCTGAGGTTTTAAATTTTTAGAAACAATAATAAATTTTTAAATCGTTATTTGTTTGTTTAATTTTATAGGTGGCTACAGCCAACGCCTTCCTAATGCAAGTGCTCTGGGAAAGATTTTCACCGCTTTACCTCTTGGTAACCCCATTTATCATATGTTAGAATTAAAACTAGCCATGTACATCGATTTTCCCTCACATATGAACCCAGGAATTCTGGTTACCTGTGCAGATGACATTGAACTTTATAGTCTTGGAGAATCTGAGTTTATAAGATTTGACAAGCCTGGATTTACTGCCTTAGCTCATCCGTCTAGTTTGATGGTAGGTACAACCCATGGAGTATTTGTCTTAGAACCTTGTAATCATTCAGAACATAGAGACCTTGAGTACAGGTGTTGCTATCGTTTCCTTCATAAGCCCAGTATAGAAAAGATGCACCAATGTAATGCTGTGTTTAGAGCCAGACGATTTCCCAAGCAGGACTTTGCTGAAGATAACACTCCTTTTAAATTAGACACTGAATATGTCTACACAGACAGCTTATTTTATATGGATCATAAATCTATGAAAAAGTTACTTTTATTTTATGAAAAAATAGGTACATTAAACTGTGAAATAGATGCATATGGAGACTTTCTGCAGGCTTTGGGACCTGGAGCAACCATGGAGTACACCAGAAACACATCAAATGCCACTAAAGAAGAGCCAGACTTGATAGAGATGAGGCAGAGCATATTTCATCTTCTTAAGGGAACATCATTGAATGTTGTTGTTCTTAATAACTCCAAATTTTATCACATTGGAACAACTGAAGAGTACTTGTTTCATTTGACATCAGATAGCAATTTGAAGTCAGAGCTGGGCTTACAGTTCATAGCCTCTAGCATCTTTCCAGCAGTATCAGAGTTCTTTGGAAAAAAACCCTGTATCATTCAAAGTATACTGGAGTCGGGATGTTCAGTGGCACCTGGCTCAGTTGTGGAGTATTCCAGATTGGAACCTGATGTTTCAGTTGGAGAAAACTGCATTATTAGTGGTTCTTACATCACCACAAAAACTGCCGTGCCTGCATATTCTTTTATGTGCTCTTTAAGTTTAAAGATAAATAGACAGTTGAGTTATTCAACTATGGTATTTGGAGTGCGAGACAACTTGAAGAAGACTGTCAAAACACTGTCAGATACGCAGGTCCTTCATTTCTTTGGAGTCTCTTTCCTGTCCTGCTTAGATCTTTGGAATCTTAGCGCTACCAAGGAACTGTTCTCTGGAAACGGGATGTGTTTGGGTCTATGGACTGCTCGCATTTTCCCAGTCTGTTGTTCTTTGAGCGATTCAGTCACAACATCCTTAAAGATGTTAAGTGCTATAAAAAACAAGTCTTTATTCAACCTGAGGAGTTATGAGCTGTTGTCTGTTGAAGAAATGCTTGGCTGTAAAGATGTAGAAGACATGATAGCTTATAGAGAACAAATTTTTCTAGACATTAATTTAAAGGAAAAGTCTGATGTAGGGACATCTTAAAAAGAGAGCTTCAGAGAGTTTGTGGGAAAATGGAAGTAAAAGATAATGGAATGTTTCCACAACTTTATGAAGGGCCCTTGTATAATTTGCCTATGTTTAATTGAACAGAGTTGCAAATTAGAAAATATTCCACTGAAGTGAACTGATGAAATGTATTTTAAAACTATTACAATATTATTAAATAACACTAGTTACAAAAATATATAGATAAGCCATTTTTTTCGGAATATTTCAAGGTTATGTGTTCATAGTAGTGTTAAATAAAAATTTCTACAAATTCTTTTAGAGTTTTACCATGTTCTTTTGGTCTTTCTAATAATGTTCTTAGTGTCTACCAGTAATTTTCATCTTAAATATAGCCCTATTTAGATGAACTAATAAAATTTGCACATATAGGGCCTTCAGAATACTATAGGAATACATGTTAGGAACAAATCCGCACCCAGAAAAATTCATTTAAGTCAATGCTTAATCTGAATATTTTAATAGATAGATACAAGCACTTTTGAAATCAATGTTAAATTTTTGTTTCTCATCTATTTGTCTTATCAAACGTGAAATGAGAGTATATGTGCTATTTTTCTCTTATAAAGTTGCACACATTCTTATACAAGAGGTTTCAAAAAGTTTGTGATCAAATAGAATTAAAAGATTACATTTTCCATGAATTTCTTGAAGCCCTCTTGCTTGTCTTAGTAATTTTATTTAAACTTCTATGCATTGGAAAGCACATACGTATACATAGTTGTTTCTGTGTGGAAAGTAGGCATAATTCCAGGGATAATTGAAGTTACTGATAATCACTTACCATGTGTACTGAAGTATAAGCCGACCCAAATATCAGCCGAGGCACCTCATTTTACCACAAAAACTGCATTAAAAATGTGCTGAAGAAACTCGACTTTTACAACAGTAAATACAGTAGCTTCATTTGGGCCATTACACTCATGCTCTCCAATAGGTCCCATTAATATTACTGCTAAATTGCCAGATGGACTGATTTTAGTTTGTTTCTGTGGTTTATACCCATTCTGTTGATGATGCTGAGGAATAATATGTGATGAAAAATTAGCAGCAAAGAGACATTAGAATAGAAAGCTAATACACAGATGATCAACTGCTACAAGAAAATAAAAGGTGACTAGAACCCCAAGTTATGCGTTTCTAGTCTGGTGTAAGTACATATGTGAAATGCCTTGCTATTGAACTCTGATAATGGAAAGAGACGCGATTTGTCAATGTTTTGTGTTTTAAATTAAAATGGATAAGTGGAAATAAAAACGAATTCTTAATGCATATATAAATCTTTATTTTGTATAAAAAGTCATATGAAAATACTGTTTGGTAAGACCGAAGTTACATGCCCATGGGCCTTAATTATGGTATTTATGTGGAATTTTTCTTGTGTTTGTTTTCTCACTGAAGAGAAAATAAAAATATGCAGGAGTTATTGTTTAACATTTATTGATCACTGATTTACAGAGCTTTTAGGGGGATGCCATGTATTTGTCCTTCAGTAAATACTCAGTACTGCCCTTCACCTCATCTAAAATACTACTTACATGATTAACCATTAAGAAAAATACTGCCAATAAAATGCAATTTGATGCTTTCCATATTTGGAATTTTTATATTTAATGTAAAGCTTTTATATGTCTTGATTCAAATCTTTGTCATTCTGATATATGTATATGTGTATATATATATATATAACTATGCAAAATTAAATCCTAAAATGAAGTTAAGACATTTCTAAAAATTCATATTCCGAGCAAAATCTTGAATACTCGAGTTGTTGATATGCATGTGTTTCCAATAACACCTTCGATTCTCTGAAAGTATTTGTAAGGCTATATGTTTTCAGAATGATCCACCAGGCTGCTATCTGGATGTTCCTCCAAGCTGCAGACACCTATTCTGAAAGTTTGGGTTCTGATACTTCACTGTTAAACAAAAACCCAGCATTCTCTCTCTCTTTTATTCCATTTCATCACAAGACCCCAGAAGGCTTCTGTTAAAAGTCAGAAGTTTCTGAAAAATTAATATTCAATATTTTAATAATAAACCTGCATGGGCTGCATTAATTCTAGTTGATATGAAATGCCAGTAAGGATGTGTTAGTGCCTCTTCATTGCTTGTTGTGTAGTCCTACCACACACATGTCAATAGCAGTGCACCTTACTCATGTGACCATCACATACATAGCTATGATCCCGTCCATGTAGGAGGAGACAATAACAACAGATTGTCTGTTGGTTCCTAGGTAATGTTAGGCCCCACTGGGTCTATTCCAACTGATAGCAACTCTTATGTATGTCAGAGCGCAACGCCACTCAGTTCTGTGCCATCCTCGTAATAGTTCTTATATTTGAGCATTGTTACAGCCGCTATGTCAACACACCTTGACCTAGAGCTTCCTCGTTTTTCTTTCTCTCTGTTTTAGCAAGCATGATTTCCTTTTCCAGGGACTGGTGTCTCATGATAATGTGACTAAAATACGTGAGAGAATGTATTGCCGTTTTTGTTCCCAAAGAGCATTCTAGCTGTACTTCTTCCTAGACATTATTTGTTTATTACTTTGACAGTCCATGGTACTTTTCAGTATTCTTCACCAGCCTACCTGTGTGAGACAGGGTTCTCTAGATAAATAAAACCAGGACACTTAAATGATGATGATAGATAGTTCATAGATAGATACAGCATGAAGGATTATAACAGCTAACTAATCCACACAGCAGTACAGAGGGCTTAGTTCAACTCACTCCATGGAGTAGTTATATACTTGAAGTCCTTCAACTCAAGAGGGCTGCTGCGTCCAATGTCAAGGAAGCAGACAGCTGAGTCTTCCCTTAGGCAATGCAGGCAGTTTGCCCACAGGCAGCAAACAGCAGTACCAGTCACTACCAGCAGCTTAGGAGCTTAGTGAGGCAGACCCAGATGGGATATCGAACTCAAGCAATGCAAGACAACAGGATCCACCAGCCTCAAGCTCAAGCAATGTATATACCAGCAGCAGCATGGTGAAGGTCTTGAAGCAAACTCAAGCTCTAGCTACAGGATCCACAAGTTGGCTGTCCCACAGATCGTGTATCTCACAAATAGAGGCAGAGAACCAACTAAAGTAGCTGCAAGCTTCTCGGATCATCAGAGAGCAAGAGAGAGAGGGGTGGACTGAGCCATTTATCTCATTGCCCTCCATTCAGACTGTGATCTTATTGATCCCACATGTTCTGTTGGCCAGGTTGGCATAATAAACCTACCTATCACACCGCCAAAATATAGATTCATTGATTCTTTGATCTTCCTTATTCAGTACTAAATTTCATGTACATATGAGGCAAAGGAAAATGCCATGGCATGGGTGGGTTAGGTGCCTTAGTTCTAAGAGTAACCTCCTGACTTTTCAGCACTTGAAAGAGGTCTTGTGTGTCAGATTTACCCAATGTAATGTGTTGTCTGATTTATTGACTGCTGCTTCCATGAGCATTGATTATGGATCCAACCAAGAAGAAATCTTTGAGAACTTAAGTTTTTTGTCTTTATTGTGATGCTGCCTGCCGGTCCAGTTGTGAAAACACTGATTTTATTTGCTTGGAATTGTAAACCATACTGAAAGCTGCAATCCTAAATCTTAACTAGCAAGTGCTTTAAATCATCAGTTTCAACAAGCAAGATTGTGTCATCTGCATGATGCAGGTTGTTAATAATCTCTCCTCCAATCCTAACACTCCATTCTTCATATAATCTATCTTTTGTAATTATTTGATAATTGTCAAATATTATCACTTGTCTTTTTCTTCAGAGATATTAAAATCTGGAGGGGATAAAAGGTGAATTAAATACCTAGATGTATCATATTAAAAAGTTTTAGAAAATGATAAAAACAAATCATTCTGAAATTCCAATTTAGAATATCATTTACATAGTGATAGGGGAAAACTATTTTTGTTAAGTGGTTGTCTTTTTTTCAGCAAATTTATTTAGCCTTCCAATACAAAGAAATTATAATCGCACTTCCATCCATTTGAGGCCAACTGAGTGACCTTTTGGTTTTCGGGGCTATAAATATTTATGAGATTAGAAGGATTCCTTTCTCCTATGGGGCAGTTGGTAAATCTGAACTGCTGACTGTCAGCCCAACATGTCGCCGCCCACTATGCCACAAGGGCTCCTTAAGATTTTATAGTTGGTTTTATTTTAATTCTAAAAGCACAAAATAATTTTGTCCTGTTGACAGGGATTATGAATGGGACTGTGATCATCAAGGTCAGTAATCCACAACCCCCAGCTGCTGCAATGGAGAAGGAAGGGGCTTTCCAGTCCTGTAATGAATTACAGCCTCTGAAACACGTTTTCTACCCTGTAAGGTCACTAGGAGTTGTCATCAACCTGACGGTCCTGATTTGGCTTTATGGTTTATGTATTATGAAATGTTTCCTCTGATTTTACAATTTTTAAAAATTTGTTGCATTTAAAGCTTATATATTTAAAAGTTTATAAAGAACTCACATTTGCAACTATATTCCATACATTTATTAATGAATTAATGATTAAAGAGGGAAAAAATCTAAAGATTAAGTAATAATATATATCCTAACACACTTATTCTCTAAATTGCACAGAGTGTATCCAATTACATTAAATTGAAATGCAGCTTCAAAACCCTATTAAATGTGCTAAAATTAAAAAGAATAAGATGGCATAGATCCAAAATGAATTCCAACAACTTGTGGTAATCCATCTTTGACCTGGGCTATACTCCCAACAACATTAAGATAGCTAATGTTGACAATAAGACTAATCAAATATTTATCTGGTGAAAAATATGGGTCTTGCTGTCCCATAACAGCGGTTATGAAATCAGGTGCACCATTCAGTGTACCATGATGTTAATGATATCCCCTGAACTTGAGCAACTTGGAGATCTAGGATCTAGGCATCTTTATCTACTGTCCTGTGCTTTAAAATCAATTCCAGTTTAGAGC